GTTACAAACTCAGTTGTAAATATCAATAAAATGCATAGTCGTTGTAAATGAAGATATAAAAATTTAAAAAAGGATACTAAGGTAGTGGAAATGATGAAAGCAACAACAGCGATCACAGAGCTTCCGAAATATTAAATCAGCAATATTTCGCGCAAGGATACAGAAATGTTTCAAAGATTGAAAAATGGGCTAACTTTTTATCTAAGAGGCAAAACAAGCGAGGAAAATCACAGGCTTTTCTTGAAAGTATTTAATTTTTAAATATATTTGTAATATAAAATCTATTGAAGGTATGAATACCAAGATGGTGTGTCCTTTTCTGTGGCCGCAGTCTCCTTACGTTGTATAGGGGTAGTTTAACCTTGTTTTAGCAACTTGGTTATACTGGTTAGAAGACTTAAAGGAACCAACCTAGTCCGGAGTCCATTGAATGCCTGATAATCTCAGAAATCGGACCGTGGACGTAGTACATTCCAAGACGCTTTATCGTCATCGTAGTCTGGTCATGCCTAGCACCGCACTAAAACCCGCCAAAGAGACAAGTCTGCTAAACAATAGTTGTATTTTTCCTTCTGCCCTGGGCTAATCACCAATCCTATATCATCATATCACGCCTTTACTATCACAATATTTTTATTTGCTTATTTAGATGCGGTATAGTGTGCCCTTTTGAGCGGCTTTCATGAGAACTCTCCACACTCCATGTTAGCTTTCCCATCTTGTTTATATCCGTAATAACAAGTCTATTGCTTCCTATGCCCTAGTCTCTTGTGTGCCAGCCCACAAATGTAATGGTACTGCAAGCTTTGATTAGGTTCAATGTTGAACCACCACATTTGCGGATTGGTACAAAAGAGACTAGGGCATAGAAAGTCATAGACTTGGAATTAGGTAAAGAAACGGGATAGACACGGCGGAGATTAGAGCTAGTTGGCTGACAGTATGCCTGTTTTACCACAGACTTGGTCCATCTAGCAGAGGCCGGACCATGAGAATTACGCATGGGCTAGAGCCTCAAGTTAGTCTCCCAAAGCTATAGTGCGGGAGATAACACCTTGAGTAGCACAGATGAGATGGCAGGGGTTGAATGAAATACTTGAACCAGGAGGAAAGCAGAAGGATCCTACGGGGCAGGAGGGAGACTCAGATAAGACCTATGGAAGAAGGACTGCGAAACAATATGGCAGACTCTGATCAACATTCCCAGCACAAGGGTGAAGGGGGTTGAGAATGCCAACGTGGAGTGTGGAGAATTATCATGAAATCCGCTCAAAAGGGCACAATATATCACATTTAAATAAGCAAGTAAAAATATTGTGATAGTGAACGCGTGCTAGGAGGATATAGGATTGGCGATTAACCCAGAGCGGAAGGAGTGATAACACGATTGTTTAGCAGACAATTAGTCAAAGGATCGGCTTCACTTGTCCCTTTAGAGTTGTAATGTCGTGTTAAGAATGACAAGACCAAATGACGATGCCGACCACGATGCCGGCGAAACGTCTTAGAATTTACCACGTCCACTTTCCGACTCTAGAAATGATCATGCATACAATGGACTCCAAATTATGTGCGCTCCTCTAAGTCTTTCTACCAATATGATCAAGTTTCAAAACAAGATCAAACTAGTTAAAATCTATCGTAGCGTCCATCCCCATAGGGTGTTAACAACTCTCATTAGCTAAAAATATCAGCTGATTTCTGGACTAAAATTTAGACATTTTACTTTTGATCAATCTTGAATAATCTAATCAGTCATACTCATTGTGAGTAATTAAAGATTAACAATCATTGTGAGAAAACTCAACAACCAATATTGGCAGTCTCGAAAACCTACTTCTAAACTAAAAATAAGAAAATTAGTCGATTGCTATAGCAAATACAATTTTATATTATCAACAGTCCCACCGCAGTATATTATATCTGAAAAGCCCTGTCCTTCCTTAGAATTCGCATCTTCCCTGTGCCGAGATTATACTCTGCACTATCACGATTTGTGTGCCGTTAGGAGTGTTGATGAGACCTGGGTGAGGTCGCAACTGCAAACCACTCTGAACAAGAATACCTTCTGGGAAAGAAGGCTATGCGAAAATAAATGGGAAGGTAAGGCCTATTTACATCATCGTGGTAAAATTCAACTGACAGTCCTTCATCAACTTAACGAAATAAGATGAAGACATTTCATGATCTTACTAAATCTTAAAAGGACTCAAAAGCATGCATCTAAAAGTGCGATGTAATCGAGAGAAGGCGAAATGATGTCAATACGATCCAGAATAAGTCGGATCATAAATTGGCATCGCTAATCCAGAAAGGGAGTTCATTGAACAAGTAGAAAGATGTGAGAATGTAAATTGTGGGTCTAAGATCAACATGCAACAAAATGTAGCCTAGATAAGGCATATTAAAATGAATGTGATTGAAAAAGATTCGTGAATTGGCCTCATTAAAAATCAAGGGAAGATTGTCTTAGAATAAAAACTGTTGGATCGTGAAAAGAAGTACTCGGGAACCGTCTTGAGGTTTGAGCAAGCCCATTCATAGCTTCCGTCTATCTTGCCACAAACATAATTAGAGCGAGAAACCATGTTATCAAAAATGCACCTATATGCTAAATTAATTTATATTCTTGAGCTTTCGTATACTGCTGTGCTTTTCTCGCTCTGACGATGTTTGCCGCATGAAAGATGAAAGTTCAGCACCGGTTCATTTGGGTCATAAGACGGCGAGACAAAAACTTCTTATAACATTCCAATAGTCTGTAATCAAAGGTTATCTGTCAACCCAATTCAATTCTTACAACCAGCTCTCTCATCAAAATTAAGAGTCTACTTACTTTAAATTATTAAGGAACTCCTCGATTGCAAGTTTTTATACATGAGTATGTGAATATTTAAAGCTCGTGTATGGATAAGCTCCTCAAAATAGCAAAAGTTAATTAAAGGCTTTTCTACCCTGCTGCGGTGAGGTCTTTGGTATCCTGCCGTTAATCCTGCAGACGCCATGAATCTGCACCTCAAGGCGAAATCGTAATGAGTCATAAAATGGTGTCAATTGAAAACTCGTGACCCCAGTTCCGGCCGTTTTGGTAGCCGAGGAAGCGACTTTACTAGTATGTTGACTCCCACCATCAAGATAACCACTCCCATTGATGTTGGAGATCCCACCATTTACGTCAGTTATCCCTCCGGAACTGCTAATACTGCCACATTCCATATTTTTATTAATTGTCCATGAAGAGCTGTCCCCAGCCAAAGGAGTTGCCACACGGAGAAGGGCCGAAGACTCTTCGGAATTCTGATTGAATAGATAGCTGTCCACTACAGGGAACCAGACCTACATATTTTTGTATATTTCCAATGTGGTAGAAAAAGGTACGTGGAAAAAGAAAAAAATTACTTAATTTTCAATTAATATAAAAGTTTCTTAGTGAAAATAATAAGAAGGAAGATAGACAAACATAAATAAATAGAATGATAAAAAAAGGGTTGATGGATAAATAAGTTATGAAAGGGATAACTTAGAGAGATGACGAATTGGTAATATAAATAGAGTTTTTCGAGGTGTATGGTATAAGATTTGCTGTGCATGTGAAATAAAAGATTGTCAGACCGGAATATACGTGTGTTAATCTAACCGGTGATTTGATCATTTGATTCATAATAATATTCAATAGTTACTTAGAGTAAATATGACGTTAAAGTGAAATGAGCTTGTGAAAGTGTGTGTAGGAAATTTACTGGTTTGTTCGTCGCTAAAAAGCATTAAAAATGTTGCAATGAATGTAACAAAGGGGTTCAAATAATCTAATCGTAGGCCTTGTGAATAAATAGGCGAAGATTTGATATAAAGTAAAGCCTAATAAGTACAACAAAGGCGGTTCAAATTAAGTCTATGACATAGTGTTTCACATAAGTGAAACATAATTTTCATCCAAAAAATATCGAAAGACGAGACTGGCATGCAGATTATACAAACGAATATAATTGCATAGCTACCTGCCTAAAGTGTAGCGACAAATTTTAAATTAATAAACGATGTGTTCTTACCATAAAATTGATTGAGATACGTAAATCTCGTATTGAGAGCTAAATAAGATTTCCAATTAATTGGTATTGGAATCGTGAAACTAAGCGATGTATCAGATTCTGGAAAAGCATGACTCATTTTGAATATTGCTTGAGAATTTAGTGATCAAGATCTCAGTAACAATATATGCTCGGCTTTGCGCTACTATATAGATTGCCCCAGCCTTGTATAAAGAAACAAAAGCGAGTCACAGATTACCTCTTTGTATAGAGTAAGCAATATTATTGAAGGGGATTCAGAGTGCAAAGAGAAAAACATCGGCGATGTATAGCGTGAGTGTGAGAGATCAGTGTGCTGACACAGGGGGTAATAAAGGACAACAGGAGTGGAGGAGATAACAGTTCAAGCAACGGATACTTTAAATTCTCTGTTTTGACTGGCTCAATAGAGGGATTCAATGCGGCGGCTAAGTTTGCTTGGTGGCAGCGGAAGTGTGAGGATATGTTATGCTCTGAATGTTGTAGCTGGTTGTGACGATTAATGTAACAAAACTGTAACTGGGGCGCATAAGACAATACTATTAAATTGAATTAAAAATATAGTTATGTACAATTTGATGCTTAAATAAAAAGCAGTTAAATGTAAAGTCATCTGCAATTTTACACTATACTTTAGGTTTACTGGAAGGTTTAAGTGATTTGCCACAGTTACTTCGAATGTAGATGATATTGATAAAATAATTATAGGTTAATAAGGATAAGACACAAGCGCAAACAAAAACGTTTATATAAGTAAACTTACACCAACAAAGATGGCTAAATAGTATAAGTGAAAGTGGCGAAAGGCTAGTTTAAATTGAGAAACTAGTTCAAATGTGTCTTGGAAACGGATATCCAGAATAAGCAATACAACGCAACATACGGATCGTGATGAGCAAATGGAATGACGGGGATTATGGAAGGAAAGCAAGAGGAAAAACGATGGATATGTCTACCTTCCTGCGAATTGGCTCAGGAGCTGCGGCTGATACTATTTAACTGGAACATTCGTACAATCCTGAGAGAAAGGACAATTCTCTTTACCAGCTTGCCCACACAACATAAAGAAGTAAAAAAAAATTGGGTGCTCCGGAGCTTACAACATAAACCGCATGAACTGCAAACAAAAATATATAGGAAGGACAATTAGCACAAGGATCATAGAACATCAGCAAGTATGCAGAAAAATGAAACAGGAAAGATCGGAGATAACAAAACATATCGCCTTTACCGACCACACAAATGATTCGAGTACAACGGAAAGACTGGCCTCATGTGGGAATAACACCAGAAAATGATTCAAAGATACCTAAGGAACAGAAGATTGGAAAAGGGAATAGTCAGTGATAATTTCGCGTATTGCCTGGGTGGACATGGAGAGGACAGCAAAAAGAAGACGCTTGGATAAAGGCCAACTACTAATATCATCACTAAAGAGAGGATCATAAGAGACAAAGGGAAACCAAGAAAATGAGAATACAGTGAAAGGAGTCAACCCTAAAATAGGTCAGAAAATTTACCGGTGCGGGTCCACCTGTGGGATGATGGATAGGAAATTAAAGTTAAATTACTAGATTACGAGATTCAAAGGTCGATCCAACCAGGAGACGACGGCGGATTTCTCTTGACCAGTTGTCAATGGCGCTGTTTCCGAGGTAATCTCTGATGGTGTACATCATACGACGGACGAAAGCTTAGCACATTTTCACTAGAATCGAATGAGATTATCTCATAAATAGGGTCAACAAGAAAGTTCCAGTAAAGCCAGTCGACGGCTGATCAAGAGGAATCCGTCGAAGTATTCTGGTGGGATCCAATCTATTCACCAAACAATCTCATTCAAAATGGAAGTAGGTTTAACAATTATGAAACAAGAGATTCCTCGAAAGCTTACTACTCTTGGCATAGAAAATAAAAGGCCATAAACAGGTATATTATGCCTCATTGGAGGTTCTAGGTTAAATTTATAGGTCTGTCAGAGATAGGTCCCCAGCGTTTGTGTGTATTTTTCGACTGTTTGCCCTAATGAGAAGTGACTGATAAAATATCCGACCAAAAAGGGAGGATACCAACAAGCATACGAATTAACAACTGACTAGTACCCTAGGATTCGAGTTGGCTGTTAGCTTGAGAGATAAGAATGTGCTTTATGGGATTCAAGAGTAGAAAAATGGAAGCGATGAAGTTCCACACCAGCGGTTCCAAATAAAGTCGAACACAGAGCACCAAAGGATAGGATAAAATGTAGGTGGGGATGAGAAAGAGGATAATTGGGTAATGGGCCTAGGGAGAGGAAGATGCCTAGGCATGGGCATCATCTGCTCTAAATCCTCGAATATCACGTAAACGAGGACTGGAATCGAAGGCTCTTCGGCAGCCAGATCTCAGAAAGCCATACAGTGATTTTAATGTGTAGTAGCGACCAATTGGCAAGAGGGGTGGGAGAGAGGCTGAGTGAAAAGCAGAAGCCCTGCAAATCGCATATGAAGCCGGTAGTGATTACGCTTTACCAAATCCACTTGTAATACACACTCTTAGGAGACGTTGGGGGTGTGAATAGGTAGATGGGCCATATGAAGTGAGGTTGAGAGAAAGAGATGCAGCACTAGAAGGTAGTAAAAAAAATAGGGGCTAGGAGTAATGATACAACAGATGAACAGAAAATTAGTCAAGAGGATTGCCTTCACTTGTCACTTTGATAAGTTGTAACTCTATCTTTACGATGGTGCATCTCACGACGATGCCGGCGAAACGTTTGGGAATATACCCAGCCAATGGTTCAATGCTGGAAAACACTATGGAAGAGGACACCAGACTAAGTAGGTTTCGCAAGGTCTCCCTGACGCTCCGACCAAGTTGTGAAAACAAGGTCAAACACTATAAAGCTAAGGGAGACTGCGACCAAGCAGAAGGTCACACCATCTTGGTCTTGATATCTACGAACAAATTTAAGCAGTTTGCAGCCAGCCATATAACATCTTCAAACCCCGATTTGACAGCATATTGAGTAAGCAAAAGCCTTTGAGAAAAATTAAAGTTTTATATTATCTAATAATCAACGGTCCCTTCCTGGAATTATACATCCAGTAATCAAATGGGCTAAGGATGAATGGCGCGAATGTGAATATGGCTCTTGTTCCTAGATTTATTTAGCTTTTGGCTTTATCTTTCTATTAACTAACCTTTGCTGCGTCTCCATCCAGCCAGCTAAAAAGCTGTTCTCCTGTCAATGATCCGTCGGCTAACAGCCATTCTCCTGTATTTGCAACAAATTGCCCGGTGTAAACAAGACCAATACATGGTCCCTGGTTGGTTATTGGAATAGTGACTTTAGAAACTGTTGTAGCGCCATCAGTACCTGAGGTCGGTGAAACTGTATTGGTCTCGAGGCTATTAGGTCCGATGAAAGGGCCTGGTTTGATGGCCTCACGCGAAAGGCGGACAGCCACATGAATGGCGTCCATAAGAACCGCGCGCAATGTGAATATCGCCGGCAAATGAAGAATATGCAGAACGCATCCGGAAGGGAGTCGGTGAGATATCGTGAAGTTGGCTAAATAAAAGAGATGGTTGGAAAGAGTGGTTTTGCGGTGGCGAAAATAAGATGGAAAAATAAGAAAAATGGTATTAAAGATAAGGCATATTAAATATATTAATTAGATTTACTTATTTGTATAAACGAGACAGATTATTTG